TGCTGTCTGCTGTCAGAGGTAAGACCATGAAAACAAGGAATGTAAGCACCAGTTTATGGGTGAGCTTGAATTTCCATAAGCTGGAACCATTACTGGAAGTGCAGGAAAAAATAGTGAAAATGTGGGCTTGTAGTTGATTGATTTGCACTTGGCCACCTCACCCCCCCTTTTTGTCCTTTGGATGTTCTTCTCTGAAACCAAGGTCACCCCCATTGAACCATGCTTAAATGAACATTCTTTCTTCATATAACTATGCAGATGACAACCTACATATTTTTGTCATTTTTTAACCCTGTTTGAGCACTGGTCAAATATGACAATTTTCATACATTTCACAGTCAGGACAGTGAATTAGTTTAACTTTTTGAACAATCTTAAGAACTCAAATTATTTAATAACTTAGACAGCTTTAATGTTCAAGTGAAGGATATTTAATTTCATGAAAACTAAGATTTGATAGTTTGAGGTGGTCAGGAAGAAATTCTCACGATTTCCAGTCACTCTGATGTGGTTACAGAAGAAGGTAATGAGCATTTTGCTTTGTAAAATGGTTGAGCATGAGCGTACACTGCGAGCTATGTTTATAAAACGCCTCAGCCCCGCGGGATCGGGAGCTGCGTTTAATTAAGGAATCGGCTGTGGCCTGCTCTCGCCTCCACCCGGGATCTCTGTCTGCCTGATCTGTACCAAGGCTCTATTAAAAACTGGCTGAGCGATTGGTTTTTGTGACGATCCTCTTCATTTTCCCTTTTCTCTACTGTAGATGACATTCATTTATTTATTTTTCCCACAGAAAAACATCAAGCTATATTTCTGGTGGGTTAATAACTAAGGGCTTGAAGTAAACAAGAAATTAGCTGGCATGAAATATGAGGTGATCTTTCTTAATTATCGCAGCACAGAGGACCCACGGGCTGGTGACGGACAGAAAGCTACCACGTAAGGGGCTTAGGCATGTAGATCAAATATCTGGGACCTTACAGTTTTGTGGTTTTTTTTCTGAAAAATTCCATTGCTGCATTATGTCTTTTAAACACAGGCTAATGTTGAGATTTTAACTTACATTTCAATGATGTGAACGGTGATATGTGTCTCCCTTCCACCCTTTATGTAGGCCCTGACTTCGTTACAATCCAGATTAATCTGTGTCTACACAGCATGATTAGCTACCAGGATAGCCTCTGTCTGCAGAGTCCTTCTGTAAGCGGAAGAATCAATAGAAGGTAATTATTGATTTCTCACTCAGGACCCACCATGTGAATGGTGCAATTGGGGATAGAAAAGAAAACTGAAGCCACGACTTGTCCAAAAAGAATTTAAGATTAATCTTGCCGAGGGACAACATGAAAATGATGAAATTGTTGTTATTCTAATGTTTTTGACTTATGAAAATGGTAATTTCATAAGATTCAAAGTAGTGACTGTGGATGACAAAACAGTATACAATTATAATTAATATACAATAATTATACATTATGGGATGTAAATGACAAGTCCTACACAGGCTTTGTGTGGATTGGATATAAGGAGACACGGGTTCGCCAGGGAGTGTTACAGGATGGGAGGGAGTGGGGCTGGGAATGCCAGCCGGGCTGCAGTGGAAGGAAAGGGTGAGGGACACACGGAAGGGAACAAAGTCCCTGACTGTTCTAGCTGGATGGGATTTCTACTTTCTGAATGTCATCTTTTCTATCACTTACGTACTTCTCAGTCAATGATGCCTATGTTCGTGTACTAAGATGCTGTGATAGGTGCTGTGAGTACCAGGCATGGTCTCTTACCTCTGGGTTACTACGAGATTTTAAGCACATATGTTGTGCCTCCATAAATCGATTGTAACACTTCAAGTTATTGTAGAAACTCTGGCTTTGTGCATCTTTCAACCTCAGAAAGATAAAGGCAGCATATGGAATGGTAATTTTAGTACCAACAGCCATTATGCAGGTCAGAGATTGATGCTACTGAACAACAAGAATAAACACATTAATGTGGAGCTACCACCACCCTGAAAAATAACCGGACTTGGATCATAGTTTCTTATGTAGAATCGATCATTTCAAATTGTGTGGTTAATATTAATCATTAAGTATTTTAAAGGAATATGTATCACTTTAAATAATAACTTTGTGATACAAGGATTGGTGACTCACCCTACATATTACCTTAAGGGCAATGATTACATATCTTAGTCCATCCTCATATATGGTCTAACTTAGCTGGTCCCTAAAGGTTTTGAGAGGTTGCATAATAAACACCTAAGGTGCTTGATAAAACTCTATTATTTGATTCAAGAGGGCCTGGGAATTAGCATTTTAACAAGTACCCTCATTCGATTCTGATCCAGGCGTGAAGAGGTCCTGCTTGGTTGGAGAAGCATTGTCTTAAAAAGCAGTTTCGGGCTACTTGCCTCTTTTAGCCGGTACTCTTGCTACCTCAGGTGGTTCCATGTGGAACTGCATGTTTCAGATTTCTTTCCACTGATTAGAAAAGAGAGACCCACAGCTTACCTACCTGTTCATCTAGCCTTTATTTAACCAGGCTATCAACCCACGAATGCCAAGTGCAGAATCAGCATTCATATTCATACATACAAATAAGATGACTAGAGAAAACCAGGAAATGTCACCTGTAAAATTCCGCAACTTAGAAAAGCTGTGGCCAAAATATTGGCTATTTATTTTTATGATTTTTTTTTTTTTAGAATTTTGAAGGACTGTTTAGTAGAAGAATACTGAAGAGTTATTTGGTGGCCACATTTTCATGGGCCAAGTGTTTAAGCTTTGTGAATTGTTTAGGATTTAGAAGATGTGTATGAAATAAGAAGGACCCAAGGTCTGTAATGCTCATTCAAAGTTTTCATTTGCTAGGGTTTTTTCCCTAATGAAAAATATATAATTGATAAGCATATGATGAAGGGTGTGATGATTAAAGAGGAAGAGGTAGGAATTCCTTCTTCCCTCTGTGACTTCTGGCAGTCGTCCAACAGATTATTTATTAAAACCACCTGAGAGAAGCTTAGTGTGTGATGTAGTGATAACTGGGACACCACTTCTATAAATGAGGAGAGCTATCTAGCCAACCCAAGCCTGGCATGAAAGGTTTAAGACCTAAGTGCAGGGCAGGCTCTCAGTACTCAAGAGAGGGGAGATTGACCAAAGGAGTGGGGGGCAAGGTAGCTGCCGGGGACATCCTAATGGAGCCCCTAATAATGGCTGCTTTTTAAATACCTTTGTACAACAGTGTTGCTGATTTACATATCATACAATTATTTGTTCCTTAAAAAATTTTGGTTTTTACAATTATCTGTTCCTATTGTGGTTCCTTTATTCATTCATTCATTCAGTACTGATTATGTGTCAGGCTATGTGCTAAGTGTAGGCATATAAAGTCAGGTGGGGATGAGTTGGTGTGTGTCCACTCTAGTGGAAACAGACAGAAAACAACTATCTAAAAATAGATCAAGGAATTACAAATTAAGGTAAAAGCTTGGAGGAAATAAATAGGAAGTTGATATTGAGAATAACTTTGATGGGGTGGGATAAGACCTACTTTCCTGAAGGTGGCTGGGAATGCCTCCTGGATAAAATACAAGCTTCGGTGCTTACCGAGTTCAAGCCTATTTCAAGTGCTTTTCATGTACATTCTAGGGAATGTACCATTATCAAACCCATTTGACAGGTGAGGAAACTGAGGCACAGAGACACTAAGTAACTTAACACATAATTTGTAAGTGGTGGGAACTGGATTTAAGGTTACACTGCCAGGCCCCGGAGCCTGCTTTCGTGACCACTCTGATCCCCTTTCCCAGTCCAGGCAGAGGGAGGGGCATGTGCAGAGCCCCTGAGGCAGGAAAGCACTGGATGACTGGGGCCCTGGAGGAAGGTCTATAGGACGGAGGGGCACAGAGGTGGTGGGAGTGGCCTGGTGGAGGTTAGAGACCGAGGGGAGGCCCTTCCAGAACATGGTAAGGAGGTTTGGATTTTCATTAAGAGTACAGCGGAAAGTCAGGAGGGTTTTAAGCAAGGTTCAAATATGAGGAGATGCCTTTTAAACAGGTGACTTGCTGCAGCTTGGAGAACAGATTGCAGGCAGGAAAGGCTGTAGGAAGACCAGTTAGGAGGCAGTTTCGGCAACAGAGATGGGAAAGAGGTCGGAACAGATTTTGGAGGTAGAATGAATAGCACTTCAGAAGAGAAAGTGCCCCCCTCCTCGCGGAGGTGGTGGGGAGTTGGCATGTTATACTTCCCTGGGGGCGTGGGCTCCTTTCAGACCCGTGTCAACACAGAAACCAATGTTCAGCGTTAGGACAGTCACCGAGGGAGCCGAAAAGAACAGAGTGCTGTTTCCCCCAGTCCAATAGAGCCGCTGCTGGTTGAGAGCAAGGCCTTCTTCTGGTGAAATATGTTAATTTCACAGGTCAGGACACTGAGCTCAGAGGAGGTAAGTGATTAATTGCCTAACTAGTTAGTTGTCGACTTGGGAGTAAAATGTATGTGCTTCTCAGGGCGATTTCCCACCAGTTCCAAGGCACTGGAGCACTTTGGTACAGGCCCAACACTTTCTTCATTTCTCGCCCCTTTAATTTGAAATAGCTTTTTTCTGACAGCAGCCATTCCCATTTCACAACACAGGCTAAAATGCAGCTCCTGCGGAGAACTTCCCTTCTCTCCTTATGTGTGAAACAGAAAGAAACGGAGGAAAGGGCAAGTCAATAAGCTCGCTTCCCAGGTGCTGGGTCACCTCCTCTGCCCTCTTGTTTGCCTGCAGGAATCCTCGCCCTTGATTATAACAGGTGGCCCTGGTGTGAACAAGGTCACAGAGAAGGTCAGGGAACTGCTGAACCCTGGGGGCCGCAAGGAACATGCTTGAAACAGAAAAGGGGGGGGGGCTGCACCTAAGTAAACCTCTCCTTTACCCGCAGCCAATTAGAGTGTCTACGAAGATCTTCAAAGTTTTCTTAAAGGAGCTAAGCAAGTCCTGGAGGGTTCAATTAATCTTACCGTGGCCCTTCTGCCCAGTGAAAAAGATCACGTTATTTTGCAGGGCCGAGTGGTTGTTGGCCGGCTGGAACTTCAAGTGGAATTCACAATCGAGGCCGATGTCTGGGATCCGCGAGTAAGCCAGGAAGGACGTGCATCCGAAGGCATCCGTGCCACTCAAGCTGGGCTGAGTAATAGTAACAGCTGCGGAAAAACCCAAACCCAAGTGTTAAAGGAAACCCGCACCCGTCCTGGTGGGAGGAGGGTTGTGGTTGCCGATGCATCTGGCCGGGTAGCCTGTGTGCTGTCCCACTAATTACACTCGAGTGCCCTCAGCCTTGTGACGCAGCCAGGAATTTCAGAGCCAGAACCAAGGAAGCGCAGTGTTTTGAGATCCTGTGTATACACACACTCACTCACAAACCCTTTCTCCATAATGGAGAATTTACCTAAAAAAGCAAAACCTTATGTTTTGGAGATTGATTTAAGAAATGGGAAAGGTCACTGGCAGACAAAGTATTTATGCAGGTGCTTTGTAAACAAGATTTGGCATCCAGACCTCAGAGAGGAACCCATAGCCTGGAGCAAACTGTGCGGTTCTAATCCTGCCCCTTCATAGTAGCTGAAGCCATGGGTCAGGGGTAGGAAAGCCAAGAAATCGAAAGCGAATTCGATCAGTGTCCATGACCTTATTGTGAATGGCCAGAACTTTCCCTGAAGTAAGAAATCATTGTCTAAAAGAAATGTTCATCCCTTCTGTGCTGAGATGCTCGTCAGATCACGAAAGAATGGGTTTCAATAGGCCTGAAACTGTAAGGAGACTTCATAGAAACAGGGAGTGGTAAAAAACAAGTTCAGGGGCCAGTGTGGACAAAATAGAGTTGAATTGAGGGGTGCTATTGGCCAACTAGCCTCTCTTTTCTGTCCTGCCTCTATCACATCTTGTATCCAAATTTTCCCTTTCCTTGCTGTTTCCTTCATAAATAGTCCCAACTGGCTTTTATTTTCCCCAAGCCAAGAGGCCCATAGGAAACAGGATGGGGGATCTCAACCCCCATCCCTGTCTGTTATGAACGGTATTCTCAGATTAAAGGATGTTCCTAGGACCTATTTATATTGGTTTGAGACAGCTTGCTAGAGGAAAGAAGAGATTGTTTTGATTACCTTTTATTGCTCACTTCTTCTCAAGAGATGTTGGCTCTCCTGGGAAGTTGTAAAACTAGAATTTTTACAAGCCTTAAGAAATATCCTCATTCTGGTATCCAACACTTAAAATAAAAGAGCTTGTTATGTCTGGTTATAACTGTTTATATAGCAAATAATTGTGCTATCCTGGGAGAAATGATTCGAGTTATCAGAGGCTTTTATTTCTGTTTGTTTCACATAACTATTCAAGTAGGATAATTGTGTGGAAGAAGTTGGATACTTCATTTTAATATTTAATATTTAATTAAAATCTGATCATTTTATTCTTTGGGTTGTGTGGTCTAAGATAATTTTTTTTTTTCCCTCAAAACTCATCAAAATCCAATGTGGGATTTTGAGACCTATCACCTTTTATATTTATTTTTTTTATCTCATGGTTTGTGTTTCAGAGATAATAAGACTATTCCCATCAGGTATTCTACTTTCAGTAGTTCAGGGAAATGAAATGTATTGCAATTGAAACAAAATAAAAACACTGACAGTGTTTTACCATTGGTGTTAAAAACAGTGAAAATAGAATTCAATTGAATTTAATACTAAGGCCTGGCCGGTATGGCTCAGTTGGTTGGGGGTTGTCCCGTGCACCAAAGGGTTGACAGTCCAGTTCCTTGTCAGGGCACATGCCTGGGTTGTGGGCTCGATCTCCAGTAGGGGACGTGCAGGGGGCAGCCAATTTATGGTTTACTCTCACGTCGATATTTCTCTCTCCCACTCTCTTTTTCTCTCTCTCTAAAAATCAATTAAAAAATCTTAAAAAATGAATACTAAAATAGAAGAATGAGTTAAAACATTTCTTCCTGTTAATAATTTACAACCGAGTCTACCTAAAGGTATAATACATTTAGGTTATGTCAACAAATATATCGTATGAATTTCCTCGCCAGACCCTGTGCTGATGCTGGTGACACAGAGATAACAGAGCATGGCCCATACCCTCAAGGAACTAGTGTGTGGTCCATACATTTATCCAACAGAACGGGGTTGAAAATTGAGGCTTGACTGATGAGCAGCAATTCACCTGACAGATGAAAGGGAAAATCATTTCAGGTAGAAAGAGCAGCACATTCTAAGGCTGGGAGGCCCAGACAGCGTGTCATCTACTCAGGAAACGCATGGCGTTTGCAGATTGTAGAGTGAAATGTAAAACGGAAGAGTGTAAGCAAATGAACCAGACGGTCAGACAGGGGTCTGATTATCACGCTTTATCTTTTCTCCACCACCTCTGAGTGGTTGGGCAATGACCGCAGCTGCCTTTTGAAACTTTCACAGCCGTGATGAAATGTGAAGCTCAGATCAGACAGAGAAAGCTGGAGGCCTAACCTTTGTTCAACATGAAAATGAGGACTGTGGTGATATTACAAAATAGGACAGTGAGTTGAGGTTATACTGAACTGTAAATGTAAGAAAATTTATGGGTAACTTGTTAAAAAAGGTAATGGTGTTATATTTACCTGAATACTTACTCAGTGTTCATCTGCACTAGCATTCCATCAGAATTAAGTTTATGACACAATTTTATACTAGTCAAGAGAAGTACAATGTATTTTGAAACTCGGGGACAACAATGCCCACAGGAACAGATCTGTCACTCGCCGGGCATTTCTTAGTCTAAAGCTGCGCTGTTCAGTGACCATTGAACTTGCCCCCTGTGGCCTTGGAGCACTTGAACTGCGGCCAGGCCTGACTGAGACGGGTTTAGTATGGGGGGAAAAAATGTGAAACATCTTATTAATAATATTTCATATGCATTAAATATTGGGTTAAATAAAATATATTAAAATAAACTTTGTTTCTTTTTACCTTAAAAAACGTGGCTACTAGAAGACAGAATTACATCGGCACCACACATCCTGTTTCTACGGAATAGCCCTGTGGGTAGAACCGTGCCACCTGGCAGGTCAGTTTTTTCTCTGAACCCTTGGCCGTGCCTTACTTCCAGGGGCTTAGTCTTTTGGCATCTTTGAACCTGTAAAACGAACGTCTAGCCCATTTCTCAGAGACTCTGTGCCCTCCCCACACTGCCTTCATCATGCTGGGTCGGGCAGGAGAGCACGGGGGGGACCAGATTACTAGGACTAGGGCTTTCGACCTTACGAATGATTCTTTCCAGTCCCTTAAAGGAACCTCCTTAGGATCTTCGGCCAGGCAACACTGGCTTGATGTGATTACTCTGTTGCACACATTTCCATATCAGACTTCTGGGAACATCAGTCATCACCAGATCAGGAGACTGAACGGATTTTAATGGAACTCTTGTAGGGCTATTAAATGTATTTTTCCCCTTTGTAATCTCGGGTTGTCTCGTGGCTTCCATACGTGAGTTACGCATTTTTTCCCTTAAGTTCTTTCAAAGTTGCAGCAATGGATTGGGATCATAAGGAAGGAAGGAAGGGGGCTGCTGGGATTTGAATTAAACATTTATTATTTAATGTATGGATGAAGTGAGCAACATCACTAACAGTCTGGGAAGATTTTAGGCAGTTAGAAAGCCTTAGTAGCTCACTAAAAATTCTACAAACCGTTGACGAAGGGAGAATGTGATAATCTTTTCTATAACATAGTGCTATGTTGTAGGCTCAGTGTAGAATCTTTGCACAGCATGTTAGATTATGCCTACAGAACACATTTTAGCAAAAATTACCATAAAAAGGGTATAAACTTCTAGAAAATTTAGTAAGGCTTTTTAAAATTTTTATTCCCAATAAAGGCAGAGAAAAAAGGCATTGTTGTTTTAAATGTAACTATATATATTTTTTAAAACCACGTTTATATTGCATTTTAAAAAAATATTTTTATTGTTGACATTATTACAGATGTCCTCCATTATCCCCCCCTTTGCCCAATACCCAAGATCTGGAAACAGCATGAGTACCCATCGGTTGATGAGTGGATGAAAAAGCTGTGGTACATTTACACCATGGAATACTACACGGCTGAAAAAAGGAAGGAACTCTTAACTTTTGTGACAGCATGGATGGGCCTAGAGACTATGCTTTTTCTTTTAAAGATACTCGGCAGTTAGTCCTCTTAATCTGAATTACTGAAGTTTTAGGTACAGAAGTGAGCAAAATGAGCTACTGAGATGCGGGAAGAAGACACATAAAGCGCTCAAAGGGCTGAACACCTTCCCTGCAGCTCTGCAAGCAGTGCCGGCCCTGCACCCGCTGGCGGGAGACGCGAGCCGCGAGCCGCTGTAGCTCCCAGTGACTGGCGGGAGGCGCCGGGGCGGCCCGCTCAGGCCTCATTCTGGACTGCCCCACTTCGTAGGCAAGCTCGGGCAAGCTGACTTTTTTGGTGTAGTTTCTGCATCTGTAAAATGAGGACAGTAAGAGCCCCTAGCTCTTTGTCAAGAACGAGAAGAGTCTGCAGCTGAAGGGAACACACCTGAGCTAACCACACGCCTCGAGCAGGCAAACCTCCGGCACCAGCCTTGCAAACCTCCGGCACCAGCCCTGTAATCCTTCTGCATTTTCCCAGTCAAGTCGCTCTAAGGCAACTAATTTATATTCCTCTTTTCTCCTGTAACATCTGGCACCCATCTCTCTCTCTCTCTTTCTCTCTCTCTTTCTCTCTCTCAAATTAGCATCTTGCTATGTCACTGAGAAAGACGTGCTCTAAGACCAGAGAACTAGCCCATTCCTCCACCACCGAATGCCCCCACCCTCAAATCTTTCCTCCCGATCAGATCCTACCCCCGCCTTCCCTCTGGTTACAGGGCTCCCTGGGCCTGGGGGCTGGATCCACCCCCCTTTGGCCAACCGCCTCACTTCAGCCATTCTTTCTTATTTCCCAGGAGCCACCGAATTATTCTTCTCTACTGAATCATTCCCTTTGAAATAAAATACGTTAGAATATCTCCACCTGAAAAAAACTGCCTTCCTCAGCTCCACATTCCCCTGGGGCCAGCCACTCCCTGTCTCTCGGTTCGTCCCGACAGTAACTCATTCTAAAGAGCAGCTGCTGTCACTCTTGCGCTCTTGATTTCATTTCCACCAGGTT